ATGGGAGCTCAGCCTGCAGGATTTCCTGGCATCATCACCGGCATCCAGGACAATGCCAGCCCGTGCCGGGTTCCAGCTCTGCAGCTGATTCAGGGAAAAGGCCCCGCTGCCACCCGGGTTCAGCTGCCAGCTCTCCAAAGAAAGGATGCCGTTCCCTCCCCCAGAGCTGCACTGCTCCCATAGCGCTGAGATAAAGAGGGGCAAAAACAGCAGCCAAAAAGTACTTCAGACGTGGCAGGCAGAGAAAAGGATCATCCCCATGGAACAGCTTTGTTGCACTGAGGCTCTACAGCCCGCCTTGGTGAGATCCATATTCCAAGGCAATCTGTCCTGGATTATAAACTGTGTAATATCCGAGGAGCCAAGAGCTTGCAATTCCCCATTAAGTGCTATTAATTGCCCTGGTTTATCATATTGTGCAGATTGACTGAACCTACTAATTCCCCCTCCTCTCCTCCTGCAAAACATCCATATTTTAAAGGGTTACACAAAGCTGCAGGGAAGGCTCTGGTTTGTGTCACCTTGATTGCTCTAGACTGGAACAAAGCACCCATCAGAGCTGCCCAGACACACCATACATCAAGCTCCTCCAATTCTTTTCATGTCTCCAGAGTGGCAGGCAAAGCAAATCATCAAATTTAACCTCCCAGTGCTTTATTTCTGGCTTGGAGAGATGTCAGAGGCCACGGGAGCTTTCGCTTTTTCCTTGTTGACTTCGAATCCACAGCAAGAGGTGGAAGGAAGAAAGCAGGAAAGGAAAGGACAACAAGAAAGGTACAGAAACTGCTCGTCTAGTGTCACCTCCAGCACACCAAGGGCAAACATGTAACACCCAGGAAACACCAGGGTGAACAAGTGGCTTTGGGAACTCAACAGCCAAGGGGGGTGGCTTCAATGTCACCTTTTTTCCCCCTCAACAACAAGAACACTGGGGATGAAGCCTCTGTCCAACACCTACTCGTGGCAAACCTGGTGTGGATCCAGCACAAGAGCTTGTGGCAGCTGAGCACTGTGCATGAATAGTCAGTGTTTTCTGTTCTGATGGTATCCTTTGGCACTTTTCTGCCTGACCCAGTGAATTCCCTGGATGACTCACACTAGGACACGTCAGTGGGATGTGTATGTAGCAAACCCATCCTGTGCAGGAGCCTCCAAAATCTCCTTCCTCCTCTCCCTCTGGAAGCAATTGAGACTCCTCTGATTCCTAATAGGGTGAAAAAGGTGAGGAGCAGCGAAGAAACAATGGGTTTAATTCCTCCCCCCATCTCTGCCTGGATGTGTTATTCCCTGAATCAACAGGAAAAATGCACAGTTCCACAGCATGGCTTGGAAGGGACCTTTAAGATGATCTAATTCCAAACCCCTGCAATGGGCAGGGAACCTTCCATAGGGAATCTTCCAATTCTGGGGAAGCAGAAAAGCCTCAGTGATTCTTAAGAGACCCACCCCGGCATGGTTTGATACACCTACCTCACAGTGGCAAATTAACTCCAGGAGCTTAGCTCATGTCTGCACAAAACCATTACTGCATGAGCAGTAATTACATCCTGCCTCATCCTAGACATCCCAGGCAATGAGCTGGGCACAGCTCCGGTGGATCCAGGCAGGGCTCGGGCCGTGCCAGCACAGCAGGACTGAGGATTCTCCAGGTTCCCCTTGCGTGAATCCAAGCCCTCCCAAACAGCACTCACCCTAAGGAAGCATTCCTCTCCAGGAAGCCAGCTGCTGCCTCCAGCTCCACTCCCAAACATCCCCATGCCTGCCAGATGGAGAGTGGAGGGGATGATGTGGATGGACACGTGTAGGTGGGCCCTCTCCTCCACGGTGCGTGTGAATCAGCCACGCTGGAATCACAATACCCAGTGATACACTGCTAAACTGTCATTACAGAGGAGTTTTAAAGGAACTCCAGCAAAATTAAAGTACTGAATTAGCTGTCAGATTAAAAAAAAACGAGCCGTAAAAGCCTTAGAAGATAAACACAGTTCTGCCTCCAGCACAAAGAGAACTTTTGAGAGTGATTCGCTGTTCTGCTCTTCAAGGAGATTTTTCAGCCTGGGCTCAGGCTCATTTTTGAAAAAGAGGCTGACCTGAACAATATATTTATTTCTTTCAGGCATAACAATTCAACCCAAAGCCATTTCTTTCTCGTTTGGCTCCTTCCTTTCCCCGTATTAATTTCAATTCAATCAACGAGGCAGTTGCATAACTGTTGTTTGGAATTGCTGTCACGTCAGCCCCGAGCCCGATCACCGCCACACTGGAGTTACATAAAAGGGTTTGTTGGGATTTCTGGGATTTTTCTCGTCGAAATTGTGGGAAGATGAAGTCCCACCCTGGAGAGATGTTTTGGTTTTCCAGGCTCTGTTGTCCATTAGTCTTGCGCTTTGGTGTCTTTTCTCGGCAGTTTTGTTTTACGCGGCACAAGGCGCTGTTTATGTGCAAGAAACTCTCCAAACCCAGCCCTGTGCACCCCCTTATTACACAGGCTATAAAATACACCGTGCTGACTCAGAGAAGCTCCTGGCAAAGGAGAAGTTCACAAAATGGGTAAAGCTCTTAAGGAGCAATTTGAATTTCTGGAGGTTGTTCAAACGCTTCGGCGGCCTGGGATTGTAATTTACCTTGTCCTTCTGCAGCCAGTGGGCTGTTACCCTGCAGTGATGGAGCAGCAAACCCCTGTGTGATCATTTCTCCTCGTGTCTCTGCACTCAAGCACACAAAAATGATCCTGGAATTGAGAGTCAGCTCCTCCACCACTCCCAAACATCCTGATGTCCTTGCTCCTCTCCAACATTGCTTATCCCTTTTGACCGGGAGGGAAACTTCTCCTTCCTTGCCTCCAAAGAATTCAGCTCATCCATTTTACTGATAGTTTCTGTCTTTGCAGGGGCACAAGTGCCATAGCCATACTCCAAGCTCTGTTGGGCCCAGGGTAATCTGAAAGCCATTCTGCACTGCAGACAGAAAGGCTTTAAAGCCAACAAATAATTAAGGATGGTGCTTTTTTTGGCCTAAATGAATTCTGCCCATACTTTTTGATGTTCCTTCATGCTTGAGAGCAATCTGTTTGTGGTTAACATTGTTTTTTTTCTTAGAAATAGTGTCGAGGGTGTCAGAGCCTACATGAACAAAAAACTAAAGAGAGAAATATACTGCAGTACCATCACTCCCTCCTAAAAACCCAAACCTCTCAAGACCACAAAATAAATCTGCTCCTTACTGTTAATATCTTGTCCCTAAGTCCTGCCTCCCTGTGGAGGAGCTTCGGAGATGAGAAATCACATCTCTCCTTTCCACTCCAAACTCAAGAGCAGTTTGTAAGGGCTAAAAAAGAGCAAAGCAAGGTTCTTGCTGGAGGCTTAAGCTGAGGATTAACCGAAGTACCAGCTGCTCCTGTAGGGAAGCAGCAAGGAAAGAGTTGGTCGATGGATGTTTTTGTGTGTTAGTTGTTTGAAATTCCTTCTGGATGAGCACATAGAGATCAAGTGTGCATGTTCAGGGTAACAGGCAGCACTGGGTGAGAAAAACTGTCACCTTCTGAAGGATGGGAGCTTTACAAAACTCAGGTTTCAGAGCACCTAGGTTTCTGCAGGCATATGGAAGACTGGGAATACAGTTTATCCAGATGCAGTGGATGTATTCCTAAAGATACTCCCACAGAAATGCAACCAGTAGCATTTGAAATGAGTGTGTAAGACACAGTGACAGCAGCACAGCCACTCAAATTAACAGTTAAGCAAAGCTTAACTCTGTTGAAGTCTTTAATTCCAAAATTTGGAGAGTTCAGACATCAAAAATGAGAGGTGAAGGTTCAGGTGAGATACACAAACAGATACCCCATGAATTGCTCTCTTATCTTCACCTGAGACCTTGTGACTGAGACAAAGGCAGCTCCTGCTCAAAGGCCCTCAGAGGGGTTTCCAAACACAGGGATCTCACTTGGGGTGGCTTCTCAAGGATTTGTGAGAGGCAGCTGAGCAAATCCGGGCGTTACAGTTGTTAAAACTGCTATTTAAGAGCCCTCTCCTCTGAAATCTCAGTGCTAACAGATCCCACCCCCCAGTGACCAATCCCCAGGTCTCTGGGCTGTAAGCAAGGCTCTAAATGGACACATTTTCCCCTCCCCTGCTTGCCCAGGTCTCACAGCAGTCTCTGCTCTAGCAGTGGTGATGACAATTTACTCACTGCTCTGGAAATGCATTGGGAAAAGCACTTTATGCTTCAGCCAGGTTTCTCATAGCAGCTTCATTTTCACTGGAACGGTGCAGGAGGCCCTTGGAGAACTCTGGTCCCTGCTCCACCACATTCTTGGTAGCTGAGTTCAGCCTCAGCTCAGCTGTGCTAAACAAATACTCCTTCATTACTGTCAGGGATAAAATGCTTAAACGCTCTGAGGAAGCCACAGAAAAAGCTCCACTCGTGTCAAACTCACTTCATCCAGGATGGCTGAAAGATGTTTCACACTGCCCTTGAACGTGTGGTTGTGCCTCGGAAAAACCCACTGGAGTCACCAGCCCAGACCTCACCATCCAGCCAAGGTGTGCCCTGGCTCGGCTCTGGGATGGTGTGTTCATCCAAACTCAGCCAGGCTTTAATTTGGAATTTAATCTTTTAATTTGGGATGCTCTGCTAAGCATCACTGCAGGCTCCCAAACTGGGGCTGGTTTCAAAGCACCAAAATTCTTCCTTTAACGGGAGACCCAACATATTGGAAAGGAAACAGAAATGTGGACTTTATTCCTAATACTCTTTACTCATCTAACTTCTCCAATCATTTATTAATGTTAATTGTGTTTCAAACTGCCTTCCTCCCAATGCCAGCTTCAACACCAGCGAGTTTACCTCACACTCAGCTATTTTGGGACTAATTCTAACCAAAGGGTGGAAGAGAATTTAGTTCTAGTGGCAGAGCTGCACCTTCTTACCCAAGGTCCAGACTACTCTGTTGTATTGCAAGACAAACTCTGGCAGAGTTAAAGAACAACACAAAGCAAAGATATACTCCATAAAACATTAATATTTTAATGAAAAATCTTAGCTTCATGTTTCTATCCAAAGACACTCAAAACTAGTTTTTCTTCCCCCTTAATTTTGACCTATAATGGGACCAGTTTGGAGATTTTTTTTTTTTTTTTTTTTTGTATTTTGGAACATTTTTTTTTTAAAGATTAAACAACCAGGCTAGCAAAAAGGTACCCAATACATACTTTTCTTATATCAAACAAGCTAGTATTTCAATACAATGTAACTATACAGAATATATACATTACACATATGATCACAAAGCAAACACTACAGGCTCAGAACAGATCTGAAAAAACATGATATTCACATTGATTACAATAACTCTAAAAATGATTGTAACGTTGAAACGGCACTTAGTTTACAAAAAAAGTCACAAAAATATATATAGCCACCAAGAACTATGGTTCCTGAAAAATACTAATAGCCAGATAGTATTATATAAAATGTGAAGTGTATTTAAACATCGTATACATTAAAAAAAAAAACAAAACCAAAAACCCGAAAACCAAGTCTGTTAGGTCAATAAACATGCCAAGTAATCAAGCTGTGACCAGCATCAACAAGAGAAGCTGTACTGTGGATGAGATGACTGGATATACGGCTGGTGACTGGAGACTGGCACAGTTAAGGGGGTTTCACTGGTACTCAAATGCACAAAGAAGCCCGACAATAATTTAATTCACATTTTTTTTCTTTTTTTTTTTCCTCTTTTCCCTCTTCAGGGTTTCACCACAGGGCAGCACCTGGAGTGAAGGCACTGCAGGAACAGGGCAAAGAAGCTGTCCAAGGACTGGGTGAAGCCGGGGTTACAGGGCAGAATATCAAAGCATGCAGCGGCTGAACGAACAGTGAACCAAAATCACCTTCTGGGGACTGCAGCAACCCTCAGGAAGACTGTAGGAACAGTTGCCACACAGGCTGGCAGCACCAGATTCTGCTTTTTTTTTTCTAATGAGTGCAACCAGATTCGTAGCTGAGACCTGTGGGACACTGAGTTCCTGTGATAGCACACGTTGAGTTAACGAAAACCCAGAGCACTAAGTACTGTTGCATTAAAAATAATTCACATTTGTGTTTGATTTTTTTTTTTTATGGTACATTTCCTCAAACACTTGGAACCCACTGTATTCACCAGGCACCTCTGATGGGGCCCAGGTACCGTCCGGCCTTGAACCCTCTTATCTGCCATCAAGATGCAATGGGATTTATAATGTCCATAACTGGAGATGAGAACCCTCCAAAACTTCATTTCACCTTGTAAGCAAAACTCCAACATAACTGATCTGGATGAAAATTAGCTCTTCTCCACACTCTGATGGTGGGGAAGTTGTGGTGGATGCAGGAGCAGCAGGTGCTCCTCCATCTGCATTCTCTCCATCCCTGCAGGCTGCACAAAGCTTATTTTGCATATAAAATGCTTCCTGGTTTGTCTCAGAGAGAGAGACCAGCACTGTCTCAGAGCTCTCACACCCTGGGCTGGAGGGGGAACCAGCAACCAAGAAGTGACTGAAGCCCTCATATAAAAACTTTAAACCATAGCTTAAAAACAATAAAATCTTATCCTGCAAAGGACATATAGGGATCATAGTCTTATAAAATATATCTGACTGCATTGGCAGCTATTACTTTTTAAAAAAGTTTAAATTCATACCTCTTAGACTCAAGATCCACGTGAACCCAGAACCATTTTGAAGAACCGAGTCCTACTGATCTCTCAGTATGAGAGACTTGCCCATGGTCTCTGTGAGCCTGACAACTGAACTGCAGCTCAAACACCACTCCTGGCTGACTCTGCTTTGAGCAGGAGGCTGAACTGCATCACCCCCGGGGCGCCTTCCCAATTTCCCGGGCCCCTTGTCAAGCAGAAGTATCAAAGCATACCTAATAATGGATTCGTTCAGGGGAGGAAAAGGAAGGGGATAAAAGAAGATGCAGTCCAGTGTTCAAAACACTCTGCTAATGTATTAAAAGAAATGGATGCTTTAGGTTTAATCCCAAGTGCAGTTTAAGGCAAGGTTTTTCTAGCTTAGGTAGGCAACCCTCTCGCTCTGTTTGGGATCTAACCACAGTAGCAACCGAGATTGTTTTAGGATGTCCTATGTTTTTACACCTCTCTTGTGAAGAACACCAGCATTTCAAAGAACTGAGCACTTCCAACCAGTTAGGGAAGAGAAATAAAATGGTATTTGCATTTAAATTGTGTTCATTTCTACGGAGAAAAGAGATATTAACAAGAAACAATTACATACAGGACAATTAACATGTAAACTCAACCCTAAACCAACCAAGCAAAATCCTCCAAGAACTCCATTGTTCCTCCAGTTGAACCAGACAGAGAAGTGAGAACTAAATGAAGATGTTACCCAGAGATCAGGGGGTGGAGAAGATCATGTGTAACACCCAGTGCAATAACAATGAACCCCAGGCCTTGCCTTATACCACAGGGTTAATGAGCCTCATTTCTTTTCCAGGAAGAACAGATTAGAGCTACAAAGGCTTGTGACTTTTCCCTTCTCTTTGGTATTCAGAAAGCACTGTGCCTTCTGACTTTTAGGATTTTAAGTCTTAAAAATCCAATATCCAGATATGTAATTTGTGTATTTGCTATCATCTCCTCCCCAGTGAGCTCATTGCCAAAATACTTAACGGGTGAAAATGATGAGATTCTAACAGAAGATAATATCCACCACCTTATATCTGACCACCTTGGATTGTTATGTCTGTGCAGTTGAGAAATGTGGTTCTGGGTGAAGCACTTTGCAGAATCACAAAGGATTCTCAGTTACCTGCATAATACTTGTCAGAACAAGAAGTGAATTCTGTATTTGAGTTCAGTGTCGTAGCCCTGTAATTCAGGATAAAGCTCAGCAAAAGGCATTGTCTTGTCTCACTGGCTTCTCAGTTACAGAAATCACAAGTGGAAGAGAAATGGTCTTTAAATTCAGCTCATCAGCAGGACTGGGTTGATTCCCAGGACAGCAAAAGCATTTCTCCTTCAAGCCCTTTTGAGAAGCCTCACAAAGGTGGACACACGAGACTGAATGGCAGCACGGAACTTTGCAGCATGTTTCTAAAAACACCCTTTATCTGGGGGGGAAACTTCACTCCAGCAACTTGGAAAGTACTGAAATCCCAATGGCTTTCACTCTGTTTAAGTAAAATATGTGGGTTTTAGCTAAAACACAGCAGAGAAAAATTGCTAAAGTCACTGAAACCCTTTAAGCTCTTTCCAAAGGTCAATAAACTTTTTTTCCTCACAAAAGTTGGCTATTAATAGAAAGAACTCGGACCCAGAGAGCATCGGAGCTGCCTAAGCTGCCTGAATACAAATTGATCTGCAATATAATACGACTTTTGTGTTTCTTCAGGAGCAACCTTTCTCTACTGGTTTCATTTCCTCCTCGTGTTTGCATAAAACAAATCCGGACAGAAAGCAACAATTTCCAAAAAACAAGACTCGAAACTAAGGGAGTATTTTATGCCCCTGGAATACTAAGATCAAGCAATACCTACTCATTCAGCACGTCATCTGTAGGCCACGGGTATCTGGCATCAAAAGGCTTGAGTGAACTTCAGAAGCTCTAAAAAAAACCCCCACAAATGTCCTAATGGACTTCCTAATTTAGGTTTCAAAGCAGTACTGGAGTCCAAACAGCCTTGACAAAACAAGACTCGCTGCTCTGAAAATCCCACACCCGGAATTTTCAGCTTTTTCTAAATATGGAAAAATGAAATTGCAAATCTTTCAATTTATTGCTTTGCTTGGGCTCTGTGTGTGTAGCTGGAGTAATGGCCTTTAATAAACCGAGTTGGCAAGGATTTAAAGTGTTTTGAAACAGGAACAATTCATCATTGCTATATAGGCTTTTTGTAAACAACCCCCTGTTGGTTAGAAAGTTGGCCTTAAAGAGAATAAATTGCTTGTTTTGTCCAAAACAGGCTAATAAAAGTCTCTGAAACTATACATGCATATGTAGAAACAAAAAAATGTGCAATAATGCACAGAAGAGATTATTTTTTGCCATCTGTAAGCTCCCTCTAGCTAGCTTTCAGATTAGTAAAAATACAATGTATATGGGAGAGGAAGTGATCAGAGCTGCAAATAATCTGGGAAAACCTTCATTTTCCTACGTGGTTCCCCATCTACAGATCCAGTCAGGAGATGTTTGTCAGGCTTGCACGGATACAACCTCTTCCACGATCCCCAATTCCTGATGCATTTTCCACTAACCTTGGCTGGGCAGATCTGGACAGGCTTATTTGATCAAGCAGTTTCTAAAAGGACTGGAATAGAAGAAAGTAGGAACACCTGGCACGATTCACTTGGTTTGTGAAAACTGATTAATCTGGGATGGGAAGGGACAACGTGTTTTGAAGAAGTGTGTGACTGTTAAGTTTCAAAACTACTCACACCATTGCCAAGCACAGGGGCACAGGGAGAGCTTTGAAAACCAGCAGGCACAGATAGGAAGTGTCATTATTTTTTTTTTTTTTTTATGCACAAGATTAAAGCATACACTCAAAACTGTTCAATCATGATTTCCAATGCATCCTTTTTGTTTGTCACTTGAAAAAGGCTCCCTCTGATTTCTTGCCCTTCACCAGAGGGTCTGCAGAAGCAAGAGAAACTTAACGAGCTGCTCTAACTGTGGAAGAAGGAATAGTTAAAGTGATCTGAATCAGTTGTTCTTCTTTAGAAGTGTATCACAGCTTCCATGATGTTCTGACAAGATCTTTTTTTTTTTTGTGCAATCAGTCTTAAATATTTTCACAGAAGTGATCATTCAGTCATGAAAAATAATGAAACATCTGTCGCAGTTTCCTGTTTAAAGCGTAGCTTACAAAGTAAAAAGGGGAAAATCTCCCCACTTTTTTTTTTTTTTTGTTTGTTTGCTTTTTTGTTAAAAAAAAAAAAAATTAAATTAAAATGTACAGGACCAAACACAGGCACTTTCCAAAGAACAAAAGTGAAACCAAGCCATGAATTATTCGATAGTGATGGATGACAGCTCCGGTTTGGGAGGGTCACCCGCAGCTGCCTCAGCAGTGGCGTTAGTCTTTGGCTGCTCTGGCACATCTTCTTCCTTTTCTGCCAACCCACCCAGAGACCCCAAGGGGAAAGTGCTTTCACAATTCTGAGTTGACGACACCTGTGAAATGACAGGCATTTGGACAGAAGAGTTGCTTTCAAAGCCATGCTCCCCTAGCTCATACTGCCCGAGGGTCTCCTCTTGCTCCTGGTTTAAGTAGTCCGGTACTAGGAAGTCACTAGAAGAGGGGCAAAGGACAGAAGAGAAATGTCATTTCTCACACAAACATCAGCAGTATCAGTTTCTTTGTAGCAGTTACATCACACAAGCTACACACTGAGAACAAAGATCCTCATTTCACACCGCTGCAAGAACATGGCAGTGACGCACTCCCCCCAAGCACTACAGCCTGCTTCTCATTTCTGCACCCAGAGAACTTCTTCAGTGGCACCTATTTTGCACCTGTATTTCCTGCACAGCCACTTCTTGTTATTTAAACTGTATCACCTTGATGAGAATGGAAGTTAATGTCTGGAACATCACATGTCGCTGAAAACCTCGCTGAAAAAAAAGGGAGCGCTCAGCCTTTAAAAATAGAAGCAAAAATGAGTTCAGCAGTGGGACAATGTGGGCCCTTCCCACCTCAGAGGTAAATCCAGACCAGCAGCAGCATTCCCTTTGGAGTGGACAGGCTGGGAGCAGCAAGGGCTCTGCTGCAGTGGGAGGTTGTGATGCCAACACTTATCACACTGCTGGGGAAAGCACGGAATTGCCTCTCTTTCCCCTGTCGCTCCTAGGACAACACTTCTGTAATGTCCTTTTTACCAGCTGTGGATCCAAAGAAAACCCACCAAACTCTCCAGCAGCATTTTCAGGGCATGAGGACATATGGAGAATAAAATTTCTTTGCACATTTTCAGCACCAGACATGAAGTCTGTACTTGAGACAAATATATATATATATATATTACATATATGCATGTTTGTATGCTTTGGTTCCTCCTGGCAATAATCCAGTTAAAAGCAGTCCTTAAATGACAGCAGCATTCACTGCTTCAACTCAAACTCCCAATCAACTATGCTAAACTGGTGTTTGTCAATACAAACTGAAGGAAGGGCTACAGGCAGCTAAAATCACACCCTATAATCTGACTTTAATTTGACAATGCAGTGCTTACCACAACCAGAGTTTTTGCTCTGGTTTTGGCCCGAGAGCCAAGAACAAAAGCTGTGTAAACCCACAGATATGAAGCACTTGTACTTTCAAACAACATTCTGCTGGAAAAAAACAGTGACTGGCTTTCCTGGTTTTTTATTTGCAGTGTTTACATCCTACGTCACCTCTGAGTTAATGGCCCTTAGTACTGCCAACCCTATTGGTCTGAGAACTTAGTAATGTTACCTAGAAAATGAAAGAGGGAATGGAGTCATGCAATCTTTCCCCAGTATCAAGCAATGAAGTAATTACAATGAAGTAATAAATCTGTGCCCTATGTAAGCGAACAGGCTACGTACAAGATTTTAAACAGAAAATTATTTACAGAACTCCATGGATGCTGTAGTAAAGAACACTATGGCTTCACACCATTAGCCTGGCCATAGGTACTACTGAAAAGAGAAATGAAGTAGCTCAGAAGCAGCCTCTGCATATCCCTGGGTTCTTCAGTGCCCTCCTAGAGAGCTCACACGCTGTAAGACAGATCAGACACAACCGAGAGTGGCGCAGGAATCAATCTGCCTGGAATTAGCTGGCAACCTGAGGAGAGGCACAGCAGGCTGCCCTGAAAGCAGGAAATGACGATTTAGGGGGGAGAAAAAAAAAAAAAAAACAGAAGGAGAAAAAAAGGTAAAAAAAAAAAAAAAAGCAAGTTTCCCTGTTAGGTTTTTGCTGTGCACCTCACCTGCTCTGGAAGTAGTTTGCTAGCTCTGACGCTTCATGGTTCAAGCTCCTCAGGTGAACGATTAAATTTCCAGAGTTGGTGAACATGGCGCCGCATGTTTTGCACTCGTAAATCCGAGGCTTGCGGATAATGTGCCGGGAAACCCGCATGTGGTGTTTATATTCCCCGAAGGAAGTGAAAGTGGCACTACATATCTGGCAGCGGAAACAGCGTTTACCTTCGTGCTTCAGGCGGTGCATCTTGAGCGAGTAAGCGCGGGTGAACTTTTTCCCACAGCGGTCACACTGAAAGGGTTTAATGCCTGTGGGAGAGAGAGCACACTCGTGTCACCTTCTGCCACCACAGGGCACGGGCAAAATCCCTCAGGAATTCTACAGCAGCTCTCAGAGAAGCCTCGCTTTGGGAAGAGAGTCCCTGGTTAACTTGAAAATGGCAGGAACAATGAGGATGGAGCTGCACTTGAAACAACCTCGAGAACAGGAATTAAGCCCAGAGCAACATCGATCTCTGTTTAGGCACTGCTGCAACTGGCTGCAAATGGCAACTCAGACCATCCACAGGGCTCTCCAACCTAACTTTCTCCATTTCCCAACTGTGACCTCCATAGTGTCCGTCCCCACGGCTCAAACTGAGCACATGGGTAAGATCCTGAGGCACAGCCAACACGGATCTGATGCCGCCGCCATCGCAAACCACCTTTGAACTCCCTTTGATCTCAGGAGATTCTTGTGCCAGACTGGTTCCCAACAATGCAATTATCAGCCTACTCTTAATTAATTGCAGTGTTTTTCTCTGGCTGCCTTTGGCCTCAGAGAAGTGTTCTGGCAGGGGGACTGTGTGCACACGGATACCCCTGTAATGCAGCAGGAATGATGATAAAAGGGGGAAGCAACAGCCTTTATATCGCGTGGGAACCTTGCTATACAAGCATTTTCAGCAACTCTGCATGACAGACAGCTCTCTAAGACAGTTCAGCTTCATGCCTCTCTTTTTTTTTTTTCTTGTATTAATTTAGAAATTCAGCTACTAGTTCATTTTTCGTTTCTTACCCTAAAACATACGAGCTCTGCAACATGTTGCAGTGGCTGAGTGTGCAATCACACCCAAACAGAAGTATTACAACATAATGGTCTGAACCACCAAAAACTTCGGATTTAATAAAAAGCCTGAACTCCAGAAAGTGGGGAAATCCAAACATGAGGCCAAGAATCTGCAATATGGAGCTCTATTCATAATAGGGCTGTCAAAGAATAAAAAAGGTTTTTTCAAAAGGTTCAATGTGCATCAGCCCGGGCTGGTAATTTCCCAGGTCTTTCACTCTGCTTTCCTTATGTTCAAAGCAGGAGCTGAACTTTTAATTGGGGCTTTTAGACAGAGAAAGCTGTAGTTAAGGTTACACTGAAATGCCCTGTTAAGCATGTGAAAACAAGTTAATACACCAGAATATGGGCTGGTGGAGCTCAAACTTTTCACGCTCTCCTCCTGTCCAAGGGCATCTATTTCCTCTGGTAGTTTGAGGAAAATCTCTTCAGCCATTTTGCTCATGAGAAAACACTTCCAACATTTACAAGCCTTGAGAGTTTCTTTTGCATGTTAATTACTCTAAAGCAGCTATTCAGATCTCCCCCAACTTTGCCCAGGGGTTCCTAGCTGACAGGTTGGCCAGAGATGCTTTGCTGTCAGACTTTTAACAACAGGTTTTGGATAATTTCACATCTGATACACCCACAGAGTTTGCTTTTTTCATATTAAACACATATATGGTCATATTGCTTGAAGGGGTTTGACAAATACTTGTTGATAGGAAAAAATTATACCTTGACAGCTGTTGCTCTGCCCCAAAAAGGTACATCCTCTGTGGGCAGGTAAGAGTCAGGCTCAAAGCAGGAGATGCTAAACCATGAGGAAAAACTCTTCAATATTCCCTTTATTCATTCAAATGTCAATGCTACTGCCAGATAATGCTGACAAGTCTTGAGAACACCAATAGCAAAGACACCGAGATTTCAAGCTTGGTTAGAAATCAAAATGAGTGCATCAAATGAGGGGATCAAGGTTCAGAGGAGGCATTCACACAAACCTCTGTAACTACCTACAGGAGCTAAATTGATTAGCAAACCAGTTCAGTTGTCCTGCAATCCCTCCAAAAACTCTGAGATCCAAAGGCACAAAACTTTCTTCAGTGCAAGGAGAGATAATATTTTCCTATGGCTGCAAGCCTCCTCTAAAACACAGCAGACAATTACAACACATCAGAGGAAGAATTCCAACCTACATCACTTCCTTCGTGGAATAAAAAAAGCCAAGAACACTTTATTTCATCTCAAATCTTTATCATGAAAATGCCTTTCAGATGCACACAAATGCTAATCATCCCTGAGCAGAGCTATCAGCCAGACTCCACGGCTCAAAACAAGCGTTCAACCCGACACTCAGCTCCTCAGTCTTGCTGAAATCAGCTCTCCAGGCGGTGAGTAAAAAAACTGCACTATTATTTGCTGCAGAGAGAGGCTACAAACGAGGAATTGCCGGGAATTTCTCACCTGAGTGGATAAGCATGTGTTGTTTTAGGTTCTGAATGCGAGTGAAGCGGACCCCGCAGGTGGGACACTGAAAGGGTCTGTCAGGACCGTTGGGGCTGGGCCTCTCTGTGCTGCTGGTGGAAGGAGCAATGTAGAGCTGGTAGGGGTACTGAACGTTCTCCAGACTACAAAGGAAAAAAGGCACCGATTTATAGGCAAGCCAGAGAAATAAGCATGGAAATCTGAACCCAGAGCACATTTGGATGAGGAGCAGAGGCTGGCACGGCACATTTGAAAGCTCTCTTTATGCTGGAAATCTCTGTCTCTACAGCAGTGTCTGACCTACACCTGAAATCTTAGCCACTGACTCTGCACATCTGAACAAATCCAGGGAATAGCCTCTGACTTGTGTTTCTTTGGGCAACAGGCCTGAGCACAGCTGCAAACTGAACTTTATTTTCCAGGCGTGGGCATTTTCTCAGGCGTATCGATGACTTGCAATCAGCAAACAGTCCCCGAGGAAGAGTTTAAAGAGCTGAGCAAATTGAAAGCCAAGGAGTATTTTGCAGCTTCAGTGGTATTTACAAATGAAATTGCAGCCAATTCATTTTTCATTTCAACTCAAGTTCCATGAACAAATATTAGTATCTACAATTACATATTTCTGAGTTTAAAATATTAATCTCATGAATCAATACTCGCTCCTTGTCTGATTCAAACAGCTCCAGCGCTGTGTTTAAAAAACAGCACACAGGCTGTAATAGGAACAATTTAACTTTCAAAGTAATTTATTTAAAACTGACTAATTGCTCCTACATAGCCTCTAGCTGCAAACTGTTTAAGGGAACTACAGTTCCCTTGCTAATCCAAGTCTGCCCCTTTAGGGCACAGTGAAATAAAAACAAATCTGCTGGTACAAACAGAGGAACGATGACGATTTGTACTTACCTGGGGTTTCCCTTCCCTGAGCATTAAGGTCTATATTTTTTGTTAAAATAGATATTTCAGCTTGCTCAGAGCCTCCAGGAAGATCAGACATCACTTGGCAGCAGGGAACTGCTCTGACCCGGAACATTCATTCTGTGGCCAGAACATTGCAATTTTAGCTTTACCAAACCATAATGTCTACAATGTCCTGAGAAAAGAGTACAGTGATGTCTGCTGTCACAGTCAGAAAGTCTCTCTAACTGAGGGAATCCTTGCTCCTTGAGCTCAGAGGGCTGGTTTCCAGGTCAGGCTGGATTCATGGACTTGTAACATTGAGGGGAATGAAATGTGCACTTTGCACAAAGACATTTCCCTGTGCATCACACAGAGCTCCAGCACAGAAGACAAGAACCAGGATCATCTCTTTAAAATCAATACCTAAATTGTCTTTATCTACTCTGGAAATGGATGTCAATTCAGCTGTGAGGACAGGGTATCTGATGGGTCTCAGAAGCAAAATTTATCTGGAGAGTGTAACACCAGGTACACATGATGAAACAATTTCCTGCAGGAGTTTAGTACCACTCAGTCTGTAAAACCCATAAGGATTTCTGGTCTCACATGGAACTGGAATAATATTTGCTCTAAAGAAGAAATGTTATCGTTCTTCACATCTTTTTATACACAGAGAGCTTGTGGAAAAAAAGAGATGCTGACAGACTTGTTGCTGTTTTGCAAGAAGGAAGTTACCAGCTCGTGTGCTGGGCCTGGCAGAATGCAGCTCACTGCCACTTCAGGAGCTAAGAAAGCCAGCTGAGGGGGTTGGGAATAAATATAAATATACATTCTGATTTTTCTAACCAAATTTCTGATCAACTCCAGCACTGCTGTTCCTCTCTGTGAACAGATCACTGGGTAGTGTGCTCAGATAAGAATTACATTTGGGTTTTGTGACATGTTGCTGCTCCCTCATTCCTGCATTAGGGGACCCTGAGGAGGCCAAAGCACATTGTGCTCCTGCAAGCTCTCTCAGGAGACACTCAAACTAGGGCACAAATGAGGAGCCACAGCTCTCCTTTTGTTTCCAGCTTTGTCAGGCTCTCTCACCCTCAAGGCCTCTGCTGGTGCCACCTTCTCTGCCATGGAAGGAGAAGTGCAATGGGCACAACTCCCTAAAAGAAATTGAAATTAAAGTTTGGTTTTATTCTCTATAAAACCTTCATGATGAGGTGGGCTGGTTAAAGCAGATCCAGTGGGAATCACGAGGCTCTCCAGCTACCAGTGACAGGCTTGTCTTTCCCATGCTCACAGTGCAAGCAAGATGAAATACCTATTGGTGACACAGTCAGAGATTATCTTGGAAACACAACCACATTTTCTCTCCCCTGCTTCTTTTCCACAAATACTCCATTTTCCATGACTTTGTCATAGATGTGGCATTTCACAGTTGAGATCTGTCTGACATCTCTGAGAATTTCTGTACCAGCCACAGAAAACCACAGGTTTCAAATGTTTTCACTGAAATATCCTACTTGCAATTTTTTTCTTCTTTTCACCAAGAGATTACACACGTATTTAATTATGTAGAACTGAACTCAGAAAAATGTGAGTACCAAAATGCTCAGTGAGCCTAGAAATGTTCTCTATTTGTAAATAACAACTATTACAGAAAAGTGGGGGTTCTCATTTTATTGGATGGAAACATTTCATAACTGAGCCTTTGCAACTCCTTTTAAATGCAGCCACGAACTGATACAGAGACCAACAGAGTTGAATTACAGATCTATGTTAGAAAAGTGGTTTACAATCCAATTGTGAACTAACAGAGAAAGAACAGATCAGACTTCACTGTGAAACAGTAATTTTAATACTTAACAGATTCCTGTGTGCCTGTTAAGCTGACAATTACATGTGACCTGCTGTTTATGAAACACTGATTATGGAGGAGGCCCAATTAATGATGTTAATTATTTAAGAGAGAAACTCAAGAGATAAGACATTTTAGATTTTGAAATATTTATGATTCTTTCCACAATGGTAAGGATGTAATATTGAGACTTTTAAATGGACTAGTCTTTTGCTTTGTTTTAGGAATATACATATATAAATTATGATTTTCAATATAAATTTGCATTGGCCACTTACAACTGGTTTTGACATTTTGAGAATCTCTATTAATAAAGAAATGTACAACCTGGACTTAAAGTAAAGGTGCATTAAGAAAAAAAAAAAAAACAACCACACCAAAAAGTGAGGGAGATTTTCTCCATCTTGGAATAAGTACAGTCTTGCACTTTCATTTAAATTTACAAAACTTGGTAGAAAATCTTTGTTTTGGAGTCTGAAATCCCTGTAACTGTCAGTTCAATTGTTTTATAAACAAGGTGTAAATTCTAGTTCATTTTGCTGGTGCTTCTGTCATTCTGAGAATAATCATTTTCAAATTTGGGCATAAACTAAGGAAAATATTCTTTCCTCCTCTGCATGGAAGAGACCTTTCAGTGAGACTTTTCAGTGTGTTTAAACAATTTTATATCTTTTGGATTTTCAAGGCAGTTTGTGCTGCAACTCTGCAATTTTATAGGAACTTTCTGAAATAATCTACTGCTGAAGATATGAGTTCCACTTGACTTTGGAATTACAGCTTTAAAAACCTGGATTAGTCCTAATGCAACATGTGCTCCTGCTGTTAATTCAACCCAAGTGCTGGGTGTTATTTTTATACTGAGGTTTGTTAGCAGATAGATAAAATCTTCCATGTCAGACAAAAAAAGTCTTATCTAAGCAGCTATTTTCCCTTTTTAATCCTACAATGGGACAGGTTTGAGATGGAAATGGCAGGAAAGATTTTTATGAGCTATGAGCACGCAGCTCTCGGTTGTTATCTCTGTAGGGAGCTTCACTTGACACAATTTCTGGAACACTCCCAAAGGCTCACACTTCTTCCACAGACCCAGTTATCTGACAAAACACCACAAAAGCCAGTTTGAACAACTGTGCTTAGGAAGGGGATAACTAAGAAGTCAAAGCAGTTGTGTGTACCCCTGTATGCCATCACTTGGCTCTAACAGAATTATGATGTATCTTTGACCAAACAGACCTGTTTTGGATTGGTTTTCTCTGCCAGCCTTCCCTTATAAGGGATTCCCTTAAGAAATCACTCAGCTCAGCACAGCAAAGGCTGCTAAATATTTACAGCAAGTGACAGGCAGCATTTTGGTAAGAAGCTACAGGCAGAGAGTTTGGGAGAGGAGATTTAAGGCTGTTATGTGTTTATGGCAGTAGTGACGTCTGGTGAAGTCAGGACCAGGTCCTTGTTTTCAGTTTGCTGCTTTTGGGGCTGTGTGGCAGCTTTAGGATGCATGTCTCACAGTAAAGGGTTTTTTATAATTCATTAATAAAGAGTAGTGATGAAGAAACAGCGAAACCATGAATATCTTTCTTCATGAATATCTTTCTTCACCAGTGCTGCCTGCAGAGAGAGAGGGAATGAAAAGCAAATTCTGACTTTCAGCACCTACATTCTCCTCAAGCACCTACCCTTCCAGAAGCTGACTGTACTTTGAGCAACACAGAGAATGAGATGTAGGAACAAGCAGACACTGTGGAATTCAGGGTGTGAGGGGTAATTACAGCCCAGCACTGGGGCAGGACACTCTGCAGCCCGGGTTGGTACGTACCGATCGTCATCGTCTGCGTGAGCGTTGGTGCCAGAGGTGCTCTGGAGTGTGGGCAACCCCTCAGTAACCCCCTCATCTATGGAGCCTAGGAGAGAAAAGGGCAAGTTCATGCAAATACATGCTCAAAAAGGGATGGAGAGCATGGAAATACACACTGAGCTTGCTTTCCCAATCTCTGGTAGCTGCTGCTGGTGCTAACAGAGTGAAATCGCCTTGGGAAAGAACCCAGTGAGCTTCTCCTTTACTCAGATTAGCTGCTGAACTGACAGCTCCACAAAGGACACATATTTGGCACACCTAGAAAATGGAAACGTTAAATACAGCCAGTTTTCAAAACACATCCAGTACTAGGACTGTAAAGCAGAGAAGTTACGTTCACCTAAAGGGACTGCTTCATCAATATTCCAGATTTGAGCAATAAAGATTTCAAACCTGCTACACTGCACTAAAACAAACCCACAGCTTCATTCACCTCAGGTGGCAAGTGTCAGACCAAGTGGAAAACCAAAGAGAAGGAGCAAAGACATGGAAAGGGAGGCAGAAAATGTGCATATTCTGCCAAAAAGCATGAGAGAGCTCTCCTAAAGTGAAAGATTTTTGTCTTAATGTGATGCCATGTTATGGGGACAGTGACAGGAGGAAAATGGCATCTCTGGAAGTTTTATTAATCAAAATTTTTAATTTACAAAGTTATAAAAGTTAATCCCGTTTTGATTTCTCCTTCTTTCTCATGAAATACTTAACTTGAAGTCTACTGAAAAATAAGCCCAACTGCTCTTAGGTTTAATTTTATGCCTTCACCTCTGAAATGCCAACAGTGCTAATGAGTTATGAAAACATCTTCTCAGACACAGCTATTGTTGTAACCATAATAACTTATTTATCAAGGCCCTGCTCCTTTCATATTATAAAGTGCTTCCAAATATAATAAATTGCAAATGAACAATTCTTGAAATTGCCCAAAGAGTGAATAAGAGCTTTTTGTGATATCAGAGAGGCAGGAACGCTTTTATAAATGCACTATAAAACACTGAGATAAATATATGCAATTATAGGAGGAAAATACATTCAGGGAAGACAAAGCTGTACTTTAACATATCTTGCTGCCTCCATTTACTATTCTTACATTACTGCATGAAGAAAGACATCTTTGGGAGGTAAAAAGTGCTTTCTGGCTACCAAGTGTGCTGTATCACAGATTAGGTACGAGTCTACTGTGCTAAAAAAAGCAAGAGAGCTGTTTCTCTTTAGAGCAAAAACGTGAATAAAAGCCATTCTGAGGGTGGTTATTATGCAAAGGCCACTAAATATTCATTCAAACATATTCAAAGAGCAGATTTGTACTTGAAAGATTTTTGCCCTGGCACATTCTTCTTCTCTCTGCAGCTGTTTTAAGGTAGAACATGCTATACTAACACCAGTGACAGATTTAAGTTTAATATTACAATCATTAAAGCCTGAGATTCCCTACCCTACCTGCTACTTTTCAAAGTATTTTTTGTTTTACACTGTGCTAGAAGTTGAGATTTCATAGCACTCAGTGGCCCCTAACTCTCTCCAATTCAGCCCCAGTCTCAGGTTTCCATTCCCCAATTCAAGCTGCTTTTGAAACACAATTTTTCTGATATTTCTAACTCAGAGAGATGTCCTCCAAAAACTTCTACAGGTCGTTTACTACTCATTTGTAATGCTGAGTATACACCCAGTTTCTCCTTTTAAGCTGTCTGGGTATGATATATGTCACAAATGTATAAATAACTATCACTGATATGGTATTTTTAACTTTACCTAATCATTATTTTTACTTGTTCTGTTTTGCCTGTGCTGATAGAATTATGTTGATGAGATAATTTGCATGTCTTATCACATGGCCCCGACAAGGCCTTTCTGAAGTTCTGACTATAACGAGTTACAAATTGAATCAAACAAAACCTGTTCCTGAGCAAGGACCACTTTTCCTGGCAAACTACCAGCAAACAAAGCTTTTTTTTTTTTTAATTTAAATATATTTTTAATTTATCCACTATTTTGGCAAACTACATTTAAAGATTTATAAACTATAAGACAGAAACTCAGCAAAGGTAAACAGCCCTGTCTCCAGTAAATAAAACATTTTCAGTTGGAAAAAGCATCACAATCTGAAATATCAACATATGAGCTACACGAACTGGGGAACAATCCAACAGCAAAGGATGGCATAAGTAGGAAAGATTTTAATTTCTTTTTAGTATTACCTGAATATTTCAACAGCACTTATTGTATTGCAGTCCTGGAAGGCTCAGACCGATCTCACTTTCTCCAGAGAAGGCAAGTGTTACACTGACAAAACCAAGCAAATAATGCTACCAGGCTATATTTATTTACCTTGCTGTAGTTTATTTATTTAATTAACTGGAGCAGCCTTTCATGTACATATTATTTGAATGAAGCAGAGCAGTCTTCAAACAAAACAGGTTTTATTAAAGATACTTCAGCAAAAAACCTCTACCGAGCACAGGTCAAGCCACTTAACTGAGAGCAAAATAGCTGACTTAGGCAAAATTTTGGTAATTAAATTAGAAATACTGCAAACCCTCTTACCTTCTGACTTCCTAAAAGCCATTCAATGCATTCTGTGAGCAGAGGAAAAAAAGGGATTGTTCCAGTAACCTTTAAGTATTAGCTATCAATAAGAAGAACCCAAAACTGGATTCAAATTGTCGTTCATGGAAAAAAAAGGTTTCTCTCAGCAATTGGCAGCATTTGGAGAAGCAACCTGAGAATCAAATCCCCCAAAAATGGAAAGATTCTCAATATTACGACTGTGTGGTTTTATTTCTGTCTGGGGCATTAAGATGACAGTGTTTCACCACTTCTTTTGCAAATCCTCTTACAAAGGCTCTCTGTCACGATTATACAAGATTTGATGCCTGATGCAAAGTCCTGGGGTAACCCTTTATGGCCACAGATCTGGTGCTGCAGCTCAGCTGACATCACGTCCTTTGGACACTAATGACAGCACAATTAGTTCCCTCAGTCAGGCAGCTAGAGGTAAAAAGGAGTTACCAACCTCTGCTGAACGAGGAGGGCGTAGCTTTCTCAGCTGCAAAGTTATTTAAAGAACTCCCAAGTTTATAAGCAAAGCATAAAAACTCAGGAGGCAGGTTCCTCCAGTAAACTCACAGGTGCACACGTGCCTATTGCAGGCATTTCTGTACGTGCTGATACCTGAAATGGTCATACCTATGGATGAAGACTGTGGGCTGATCAGGAGATCCTCCTGCACCTGCTCGCTCCCCGGGACCGTCTGCTGGTCGCTCAGGGAGCTCTGGGAAGCGCTCACGGGCTGCGACACCTCCTCGTGCACCTCCTCGTCGCTCAGCCTCTCCACCTTCACTCGCACGTCCTCCTCGATCACCAGGGGAGAACTGGCTTTGGTGCTCTCACAAGTCACGTAATCCGCCATTCTCCGGTTGGACTCGGAGGGCCCGGGCATTTCCAAAGTCCGCGAGTTCTCCGCCTGCTTCACCTTCTCCGACTGAAGCCTTCGATCGATCCCGAAAGGAAAAGTCCAGGGAAAAGCTAAGGACGAGTCCACGGGCTGGTTTCTGGACTCGGGGTAGGAAGCCGAGGGGTTGAGCACTTGGGGGGAGCTGGTTTGGGTGTTGCACTTGAGGGGGCTCTCGGGGGACATGACGATGTAGCTTTTGCGCTTCCTGCGCGACTCCCGGCACACGGGGATGGTTCTCTCCACCACGCTGCACTCGGAGGACACGGGGGAAAGGCTGCCGTCCCGGGAGGTGAAATTGCAGTTTGCACTGTTCTCCTGCCCCGCATCCAGCACCTTCTCCTGCTGGCTGGTGGGCGTGTTCCACAAAATGCTGGACTTCATGAACTCGGAGCACGTGCTGGCCACGCTGAACATCTGCATGTAGCTGGCCGCGGCCAGCACGTCGATGATGTTCTCCGTGTTGATGGACAGCGTCGCCGTGTAGGCGTACTCCAGCAGCGGGATGAACCCCGTCACCGTCACGTGGTGCAGGTCCAACACGCTCTTGCTCTCGTCCTCCGCTTGGCCCACGAGTTTGGAGCGGAAGAAGTCGCTGCAGGCCGCCAGCACCACCTTGTGCGCCCGGAAGATCTTGTCCTGCACGCGGATGGTGATGTCGCAGAAGTGCCCGTCGTTGCGCAGCATGTTCAGCTTCCCCAGCATCTCCTGACTGTGGGCAGGGGAGTTATGAGTGAATGTTTTAACACCCATTTTCAGATGGTTCTCCCAGCGTTCTTCCCACATACGAGAGATCACGGGTGTCCTGGAATAAAGAGCAAAACTGTCATTTCCGTGTCGGAAAGCAGAAGTCAGGTGGCTTTATAAGAAGAGAATTCAGCCAAATTCTTTCAGATCAGTTTTTCTGGTTGTGCAAGGGACTAATTCTACAGAAATGCAATTACTTACTTGTGAGTTTCATAAACACAGATCAGATTGCTTGCAGTCTATCCCTATATCTATCTATACCTCCCTATATCTCTCTCTATATACATATATAATAAATAAACCTATATAATCTTCCATATTTCTGCCACTGCCCACTCAAACCCAAATATCCCACACGCTTCACAGAAATGTTTGCAATACTAAAACAAAAGCTTTTTTTTTTTTTTAACTAACAGTGAGTAGAAACCTGTATTTTTACCTTCTGGGCCCAGAAAACTCTTGCTCACTGTTCTTAAACCTGACAAGAGCGTTGAATGTTTCTTTTAAGTGGAAAAGATGTCAGCTTGGGTCAACTTACAAGTGTGCAGGAGCAAGTAAATCTCCCAGAGATGGTATTTAATTCCAGAAAAGCTTTAGAGAAACTACAACATGAATTTCCAGAGGCCAGAGTTCAAGCTGGTAAACATAAAACAACAGCTGCCAGTAGCCCTGCTTTCCTGCTGCAGTGCAGGTACTGACTGCCTAAAGCTGCTTTTAATAAACAGTTTTGGACTAGGGTGAGGGGTGATTGAAAATTCCTTCAGAAACACAATGCACTGGAAGCCTCAAAGGAAGGTTTAAGTCTCTATCAGATACATATATATTGATTTTATATGTGTGATATAAATAATACAAGGAGGGCAACTTTTTTCTTATGACAATATAAACCTCCCTTCTTGGGGTTCTCTGCATGTGGGAGCAAATGCTTGTGTTCTGTGTAAGAATAGGAGGTGTGACCCACACTGGCTGCAAGTTTTAGGGCAGCAGCAGCCTCTAAAAACTAAATGACTCTGATTTGAGGAGGATGAAGCTGATCACCGCTCAATCCCCCTGCAGTACACAGGGGAAAGACAGTGCCAGGCGAGATGCCACATGCCCAGACATCCCCTGGGATGGAACTGGAACTGCTGTGACCACCAAGAAAATCAGTTCCTGGGTTTTCTCCAACCTCTTCTGAATTATTTCACTGGAAAGGAAACACAACCCACCATGTTCCACCTTCTTAAGTCCCGTCCCCACCCCTCCAAGTTTCCATGAAGGGTTTCTGTGTTCCACATGCCTCTCACAATTACCATGATATAGAAATATCACCGGGTTAAACATCAACAACATAATTGGATCTGATTAGCTCCTGGAGTCAGCAGCTTCTTCACATCATCCTTCTTTCCCTTCCACATACACAAAACCACACCACATTTACAAGTTGCTCATGTGGAGATTCTCAGCTACCAAGAGCAAGTTTGGAACAGCTTACCCCAAATGTCACATATTGAAATGGCAGCTGTCAGAGTCTACCTTGTTCTACACACATTTACACTTGGCTGGTTCTTGTTGCTGGGGTTTCACTTTTGATACTCAAACCCTTTCAGACAGAGGAAAAAGAACTGTTGGAGAGAACAGATTAACTAACACTTGACAATATAAAGTCTGGGAGAAACTGTAAGGGCTGTTTGGGTTTAAAATGAGATTTCACACTAGTGCAGAGGAAGAAGTTAAGCACAAGCAAAACACTCCCTTCACTGAAAGAAAATGGATCGACCTCGTGAGGCACCTGAACATCCAGACTGTTTGTTCTCCAGCATGAATCAAATGAAAAGCATATTCCATTGATCTCAGACCAAAACACTACAGTAAAAGCTTGTAACAGCATATTCTAAAATGGCCTTGGGATACCCTTCCTTCTGAAATCCCAGGCGCTGCAGCACTTGCTTGGCACATCACAAGTCCAGAAGTGCTTCTGTTCAGGAACTGCCTACAAAAGGAATAAAACATTCACAAGGACCATCCACAGAACAATCTGCTGTTCAGAAATAGCACCGATCCATCATTACGAACAAGGAGAGAATCAAGAGCAATCCTCCCAGTTCCTGCAGGCCCACAATAACCCATTTTCCTGGTCAGCTGAGTGAGGAATGCTCATCCCTCAGTCCCTAAGTGAGAGCTCGGCTCTGCTGCCCTGCTCTGAACCATTCCTTGTCCTGCTTCCCCCCTCCTGCAGCCTCTCCCCTCTTCTGGCTTCCTTTCCCCCTTCTTTCATCTTTTGCTTCCTTGACCTTGATCTGGTTACAGAATTCAAAATAAAATAGCGGAAGTCAGCGATGTGCAATAAACTGATTTAAATTTATTACGGGAGCAGCGTTCCTGCCACGAACGTGGGATATTGCTCTGTCAAATCACTTCCATAAAATGACTTTTCCCCCTCATTGCACTGACACCACCATTCAAACAAGTGGCTCCTACCCAGGCCTCAGTGTGGACAAGGAGCATTTTTGGGAAAATCCAAAGGGGTGGGCTGAGGAGGGCGAACAATATCAGCTCCTTACAGTTAATGAGGTAGTAAAAACATCACATATTTTTAGAAGGCAGTTGAAACAATTTGAAAATATTTTCCCCACGAAAAGCTGAGCGTGCTAGAGCAGCCAGGTTATAAAATGGATCAACTCTCCCTGGGAATCCTCAGTGGCACAGGGCATTTTTCCAGCTGCACTCCCAGTGATCAAAGAGGGGAAAGGGCTGCAATGTTACAGTTTCACCCCAAGTCCAACATTTCTGTCCCATCACCATTTTGAAATGACATCTTGGCACGTCTGATTTCCCATTATCAGCCAGTCCCTGAGGGAGCTGCTGGACCATGAAGTGCAGGGTGGCACATCCAGGAGTGATTACAGAACCAAAATGCAGAACTAAATATACCTGTTCCCTCGGGAGTGCTGGGGTGGGGACAGTGAGGTGCACACCTCAACTAAGTGGTAAGTGGGTTGGAGCTGGCAAAGTTGTTCATCTTCGAGCCACAAACCACCAGGGATTCTCCAAGCAGGGATCAGGGATGGTATCACAGAGACAGAAGCTTTTCCTCCTCCTCCCCACAATCCTGAGGCACACACCCCTTGCCCACAGCTCATGGAGAATTTCTGAGCTCTAGGGAAATCCGATGACATTTAAAGACACTTTCACAAGTTTTAAAGATAAAGATATGGAGACTTTAGCCCATATTTAACAGGCTGTACTGAACAGACCTTTGCAGTTAAAGAGAATGTTTTTTACAGAGGGCATCCCTGCCCTGGAGATGTGTGGGGATTCACCACCAAGGTGCAGATCCTCGGAGAAGGGGAGAATTCAAACATGAGCACTACAGGACCTGCAGGGCAAGGAGAACTTTGTCCACTATTAGCCAAAAGCAGTGTGAAGGGAAGTGCTACTGTATCAAAGACTTTGTACAATTTAGTTGAAAATTAGTTGCTTTTTTTTACTCCCAGAAGCACTAACAGAGACCTGACCTTTAAGTAGTTCAGGGTAACTCAGCTCATTCTCACTGTTTCAAGGCTACCAAAAAACAAGTTTTAGCAACAGTTACCAAGTCACATTCACTATTTTGGCATTAAACATGTGTCAAGTTTCCGTGCTTAGAAACAGTAAAGAAGAAACTGTACTCTATAAATGTAATGTTATAATGTAATGAAACTGTAAATGGAAAAGGAATTAGAACAGAAGTAAGAAATATTCCTCAGGTGACCTGCCTACTTCGTGTACACCAAGTTTAACTCCTTATTCACCTTCTGTTGTGCCTCAAATCATTGGGTTTGAAACATGGTCCCTACAACAATCTTCTGGAAGAGTCAGTGAATGAGATACAGAGCTGCTCACATTCAGCTTCTCACTCAGTCACATCATTTTACAGCACAAGTACTTTTTAGCACCACAAAACTACCACCCCACCTTTAACCTCCATATCCTGACCTGTGGCAACCTACAGCATGAAAACACTAAATTTTTCTGAATACTGAAACCAACAGACTTCAGATACATAAATGCCACGTTGCCTTTGGCACTCAAAAAGCTCAGGAAATTCTCACCCTTTTGGGATTTCTCAGCAATCCCTTAGGTACAATTACTCACCTGTGAGGCCATGGTGCAAATCAGGTCACTAATTATTTTTTTTAATTTATTTTTAATGCAGATCACTCCTTGGGCACCGGCAGCACCATCCCAATCAACAGCAGCAGCCAGACACAGACAAATGTTCCACGTGGATAAACGTGTGACCTGGATCACTTCATCTCTGTCACTGCAGTATGCAGGTACCAGCACCCTTCTCTTTCTCTCAAATTAACTGTTTTGCACACTTAAATTCATGACTGAATCAGAATAACTGGTCTTAGTGTGTGTTTAACTTATAGTTTGCTATTTCTATTTTGGGCCTGCAACACTCGTGTATCTAAACACGCATCTGTTTCCCCAACAGCAGCTGGCCTAGCAAAGGTACAATCTCCACTACAGATCTGGCCCTGCTTCACTTCACAAACTGCTGGCTGGAGCTGCCACACTGTTCTCGATTCAAACAAACCAACAGCACTTTCTAAACTTTATTTAAAACCATATTTTAACCCAGGACAGTAAACCTAGTTTGAGCTCAGCCCAACACAGCCAAGCCCAGTGGTATTCACAAAAATGAGGAGGCAAACAGGAGCCTTCTGTGCTCAAAATCACATCAATGTGCAGCATCCACTTTGGTGCTGTGGAATCTGTGGAATGCAAACCTGTAACCTTTGGCTGCAGTGGGTGAGAGGACCAGGGAAGTGAACCATCCTGGGAAGTATGCAGGGCTTCAGAACTTCCATTTCCTCCAGGACAGCAGATTTCAAACCCTGAGTGCACAAAGGAACCAGTGTTGAGGCATAAACACCGGTCTGTTAAACCTGAATTACATGCTGAGCTCCAGCCTGTACGTGGAGTGAGGTGATGCCATGCCCTGCATAAAACTGGGAGCTCAGTGCTGGGGCTGAGCTGGCCCTTGGCCCCAACTCAGTCCACTGACACACCCCAGGACACTCCTGTGTCCCTTCCCTCCCAGCTCCTCAGAAGAGGACAACTTTTTGTTTTAAGGAGTTTGGAGGTCTTTTGTTCTTGGAGATGTTCTTTGCACATGGGACAGTCCTCTGGGAAGATCTGCTCAGCCAAGAATGGCTGATGGCAGCAAAGTAACTCCAGGGGACTCCACCCGGGAGCTGCACTGGAAGAGCAATTTCACCTCCCAAGCTGAAGGCCTGAAATACACCCCTCCCATTTACTGTCAGCAGTAACACCCCCTGCCACAGCAGAAGGCATACAAAGTGTGCTGTGCTTTGCCTGTGCACTCCAGAAACACTGCACCTGACAAGACCACAGAGTTTGTAAGGACTGGGGGTTTGGACACCACTGTTGACAACTTCACGTGCCAGAGCTTTAGAGCCACTGCCTTCATGTACCACTAGTGACATCCACAGAAAGCATTTGGTGGCTGCTCTGTACTCACACCCCAGCTTGTACCTTAATTTTTATTTTTTATTTGCAAGAGCGCTTTGCAAGGATGCAAAAAGGCTTCACAAGCAGCCACCTCCTCCTCTGAAAAACTCCTGGTAAAGAGACTTTCCAAATTCTAAAATTTACATCTTCCTAAACTTTAGGCAGAGTCCACCAGAGGCTGCTGCAGAAGGGTGGCAGGCAGTACTCCAGAACTAGAGTTAAGCTTAATGGAGGCAAATAAAACCACTATCAGGAAGCACCACTGTTCAAACTGATCCAGGTCTGTGTAAATAATTTTCAGAGCCTCTTAAGTGTTTAACACATGGAAACTGCATTGTACCAAAAAGCTCTCCCTGTTCCCCAGTTTTAAATACACTTGTAAGCACCTAGATAAAAGTTTCTAATGAGCACAGTCAAGACACCAAGGCTGCAACTCTTCCTACAAAACTGCTGAAAAGATTTGCACATCTGGAAATCCTGAGCTGTGACAGAGCCCACGAAAACTTCTGGCAGCAACCAAGGTAAACTTCTGCAGGGCAGGAAACAGGCAGGTGCAAAAGCACACAGCAGTTCTTTACTGTAAGTTCTCCATCAGACCATCAGGAATAGTATTTATTCCATCAGGAATAGTATTTATCTACAAAGATCTCTTCAGTTTGCCCAAAATGAAACCCTGTAATGCAAGCAAACAAAAGCTTTAACTGTACCATGCCCTGAGAAGGAAGCAGATGTGCGTGGCCATGGCAAGGCCCCAGCTCACAGTCACAGCCCTGACTCCCATTGTCACTGCTACTGAAAACATTAATATTTCACAGGGATAGGAGGAGAATGACTGGGATCACGGGAAGGTGAATCTGCACGATGCAAATTGAGTAGGTGAGTTTTAATCCCCGGGGCTGCTGCATTGAGACAAGTAGTGGGGTGCCAAACCCAGCAATTTATTCTCCAAAATGGTTTTATTGTAAGTTGAGATGGTAGGTCAGCTGCAACAGAACACTCCTGGGAGGATAAAATTAGAAAACATTGACATGCACGTTTTAGGGGAACAGTACCAACAGAAGAGCAAGCACAGCTTATCTTAGACTGGTTTTTGTGACTGGAACTGCAGCTGGGTGTTGAATCCAGGAGCTGACCCCCCTCCTCCACGAGATGCCCAGGCTCCCAGCCACTTATCACCCCTGCAATTTGTCACTCAAAACACAGCCACTGCTTCTGGCAACTGGGCCTGATTCACTGTTGGTTTTTTGGAAGAAGCTAATATAGTTAACTTCTTGAGGTATATTCCTGTATAAGAGAGAGCAAAACAATTCACCTATTCCAGCTTTCTGGTTTAACTCTTCCCAGCAGCAAGGTTTAAGATTTGGTCAGAAACCAACAGTGCTGCTGATACACACACCCAACTCGAGCTCTGCACGTGCCTCAACGTGGGATTTACTCAGTGGCAGGGCAACAGATACACACCAGGTGTGAGGGCAAGAAAAGAGCTCCCATTCCTAAAAATAGACACAAAAATTCTCATTTTGTCATGATGAGTCCAGGGCCTGCTCAGCAATTCTGTCATGCTCATCCATCACTTACAGTGGGTTCCAAGGCTTGGAATGCACAATGATTCAGAACTTCAGCAGCCCTCAGGACACATCCCCTGAGCTGGGGGGTGGCTGTCTGGGCTCAGTTCATCTGAGCAGAACAGAAGGGGCCTGTGGGAGAAGCCAAAGTATCCTTAGAGACTGATTGAGACCCTGTGAGGACTCAACACTAACACTGTCCTGCAAAATCACACAATCATTTAGGTTGGAAAAGATCTGTCTAGTCTGAAAGGCTGCGAGAATTGGGATTGTTCAGCTAGAAGAAGGGAAGGCTTCACAGTGACCTAACTGTGCCCCAAACATCTGCAGTAAAGAAAAAGAGGTGTACACGTCTACTACTTTTATTTTAGAGTATTAAACCCCACATAAAACATCACAGAGCTGTTGTTCTTTACTGGGATGTCATAGCAAAGGAAAAGCTGAAAACCATTTGTCAAACAATCCCTATTTTTCAGGAACTGCTGTTTGTACATCAAACATGATGTGCAATGTGTCTGGCTGGTGATTTCCTCACGGGAGTGACAGTTCCAGATTTATTCTTGTCCCTCATCATCCTGCATATATGGCCTACAGGAAGGGGCCTGCAAGACTTTCTCCTGACTGATCTCCAACTGGCAGGAGAATTCAATCCTATGGCAAACCTCTCTTTTTAATTTTTATGTCAGGAACTGCACATCACTTACGTCTCAGGCAAGTGAGAGTTGTGGTCCCTGCAGCTGATAACCAACACACAGATAAACCAGGGCATTCTTAACTGTGGAAGTGTCACAGGGCTGGAATTTCAGACAACCCAGAGCTCTGTCCATGGCACTGAGTGTGCTGGATTAACACAGCAGGAAGATTAAAGCACGGCTACAACTCCCGGCCCAGATAAAACTTGCAGATTAAAGACCACGCTGGAGGTGTGTAAAAACATGTTAGCACTCCTTTCATTAGAAGTCAATCTGAAAGTGCTTCCATCAGACACTGCTGTGATTAAACACTGATATTTGAATTCTCAGGGAAAAGGTGTGAGTGCAACACAAAGTGCAGGATTGTTCAAAGACCGTCTCGTTTTGTAACACACACCTGCAAAAAAGCTTGGCAACATTAACACTGTGATTATTTCTTCTCTCAAATATTTAGTGCACAAGGTCTGGTTATTTAAAAATATAGAGATGTTTTCATCTCTCAAAGATAAATGATTATAGCTGTTTGTATACAACTGCAGAAATGTGGTGAAATGAAAACAATCTGAGGAAAAAATTAAGAATAAGAAAACAAACAGAAAATGGGACACCACCTGTGCTTACTGAAGTTGAAGTATCTCAAACTTGATAACGTATTTTTCAGAAAAAGAGGAAATGCCAGCTATGATGAGACCTTAATTCAAATGTTTTATATTAAGGAGCTAATAATGGACTTGAGCTGTAAACTGGAAGCCAGTGAGTTAAAAGTAACTTGGGAGCAAGATCTCCACACTATTTGGGCCAACCAAAAGGCCCCCAGAACCACCAGCCTATTGCAATGCCTCAGTTTTGGTCAGGTATTTGTCAAGATGTATTTTCACCCCCTGAAAGATTCTCAAGAGGGGGTTTTTGGGTTTGATTTCCTCCTCTGGGTAGCTACCCTTTAAGGTGTCTGCAAAGTAAACACTGATCTTTTCAGGGCATCTGACTTCACCAACCACGTTCCAGCCAGAACTGAGAGGGTGTACATTAAGTGCACTGATCAGCACCACAGCTCTTAATCTCAGGATCTCATTAAAAGCAGAGATTACAATAATCAGGGCAGGACAGTAGTGCTGTATGTAAATTGAGCTGATGCCACTGGCCACTTTTCTGCAACACAAGATGTTCTTGGAGATCTTTTACAGATACATAACTAAGATAAATGTCGTTTTTTTAAGGCTCTGTACTTTCCTACGTCACTCAAGTTTGCTGGCTCCAACCAAACCTGTGTTTCATGCAACAACCAGACTGAAAGAAGATTTATCTGGGGAGTCTTGTCTTGTTTTCCCCAGCCTTGACACAGTTGTTGGAGTTTTGGTGTGATCACCCCAAGTCGGCTCTTTGGGAGAACAGAATGTTACCATTCACTGTTTCAAGGGACTCAGATTTAACTTGTTGCCTTTCAGAAGCTGCCGTGCAGGGTATAAAGTTTATGTGCCTAATATAGCTTTCACATGGTTGAATAAGCAAAGCAGATAAATGCCACCTTGCCCAGCCTCCAGCACTTTAAACACTGCATTGTAGGAATCTCACATTAGTGCTCCGTGTAACACATAAAAGCAAATTTTCTGACAGTACTTAAAACTGAGGCTCATTTAACAACATGAGCAGCAGCTGCTGAAAGGTCTTGTTCCACACTGAATTACCTTTATTCTCATAATAAAAATCCATGTGTGAACTTCACTAGACAGAGTGTTTTGGGATACTTCACAGATTCACTTTCCCGCACTTTCTGTTTTTCACCAGCTCTCCAAAAAAGCTCATGATCAAACTACCAGAAACGGCCCTAAAAGTAAGGTGTTTGTGTCATCAACATATGAAACAAATCTCCATTTAAGGTGTGGGGTTTTTTTTACTACAATAAAAGCAACAAGTGAATTCATAGTTGTCATTGTATCCTTATGCATGGAAGTGCCTCAGGATGTAATCAGATTATAGGACTGATGTGTTACATCCCCGAGGCACAGGTTCATATTTAACAACGGCAGTTTTCATGCATCATTTTTATGTGATCTCAGTAACTTCTTTACACTTCCACTCCCTGCAAACTCAGGTAAAATTTTCCCCGAATTTCTCAGCGTAGAAAAAAAGCTGTTTCATGACTGCTTCCCACTCTGTGTAATAAAAAGCAAGGCTTCAGTTTTATAATCCTTGGTCTTTAAAAGCAGCACCAAGAAATACAATTGAAAATTAAATTATTTTTAAATACTGCAAATTGCCAAAAAAACGTGCACAAAGTACTTTCATTTGTCATGTGGCAGCAACCTGCTAGTTTAAATTAATTCCAGAAAGCTATTTTTTTCTTGTTTTACCATGGCTACCCACTGCATTTTAGTCTTCACTCAGAACAGCATATCAATATAAACTCGGGGAAAAAAAAAATATATATATACATGAAAGACTACTCAAGTCAGCCTCCCAAATTAGTCACGAAAGCAAAAATTTCCAAGCCCTTTTTGGTGCTAGAACGTGGAAGAAATATCAGGCAAAGCGGCACGGGTTTTGTAACTCACACCAAAACATTCTAGGAGGGTTACAAGGACTGGCAGTTTCTCGCTCACTTCTCTTCCAGATTATCAGGGAGGTGTTACAGTGTAATCCATGGTAACTATAAACAAGGAATTTGGGGGCAGCGCAACGCAGATCTCCCCTCTCCCCAGGCCCGTTAACACCTCAAGTGCTGGAAGCAACAGCGAGGAAAAACCTGAGCGAAGAGCAGAGGGGAGAGATGCCAGAAAAACCTCCCATGCCGGGCAATCGGCAGAGGGTAATCCAGACAGCGTGGAGCGCTGCCAGCGAGTCAAGGTGTCACAGACACATAAACAACAGCCACCTTCCCAGCGGAAGCAGCTATAAAGAATCCCGAACATGCTCGAGCAAGGCAGGAATGTGGTTGTGTCATCACCCTTTCAGCACTACGTGTACCCTTCATTTTCCTAATGACTCATTTATGCAGATAAATGCCTAAAAGGAGCTCTTCTTGCCCCCCCCCCCCGAACGAAAAATCCTTGTATTTATCTACAAATCATGTTATCAGGTGAGCAGCAACGCCACAGGCTGCAGCTGCCTGCCCTTGTATGGCCAATGCTGGGCTGGCAGAACCATATCCAAGGAGAGTTTTGTGGGGTTTTTTAAACCTAACATTGCACAGAAACTTCTCAGAGCAGGTATTTCCTAACAGGGCCATTTATCCACTTAAAAACCCCAACACAAAGAAGGCAGAAGACTGCAGAGGGTGTCAGCCCACAGAGCTCCAACACTGTCCCTAATATGGGACCAACCTGTCCCTTAACTCTGCAGTTATTCCTAAACCCACAAGTTATTTCTGGGACTCTCAGGTCTCCACAGGACGTGGAATCTTCACGCTTCCAACACCTTCCAAAAGATTTAACTCTGGTAAGTATGATAAAATTGTAGTTTTTCCGTAACACACTCTTGGTAATATCCAAATACAAAATGCTTTACCAAGTGCCATCTGTAGATGTGTTTATAAACTCAGATCTTCTTCAGCAGCTCTAACTACATTTCCACTAAAATATCTCTCACTACAATTACTATGCTCACTTGTACTTCTGAATATAAAACATTACACACAGTAAATGTTTACAATGTTATCACAGATGAGCTACAAAGTGTCCTTTTAGAGAGCACCTCTTCATGCTCTGAAAAAACCTGCCTTTATTCAGCCTCCTTGGGTAGAGCAGGCAAACAAATATTGTGGTCAAATCACCTCAAATAATAAACCCCAAAGTGCAGTAGATGCACAGGGGACGTGACTGAGCAGTCTGTGTTTGCTCCTCCACTCTTCCCCTAATGATTTACTCCTGGCCACTGTCACACACCACATGCTGAGCCCAACACACTTTTTGCAGTCCTTATTATCCCGTCATTCCCGTGCTCTGATAAACCTGTTCATGTGAAATAATTATTTCCCCAGCCCTGAACTGGAATGCATTAAAAACACGCTATCGACAATTAATGCACAGTTTAAGTCCCTTCCTTAACTTGATTAACTGCAATGCAAGAATTAAATTAAAAGCTGAGCATTTATGGTTCTTGTCATCCCATTTTATCAGGTTTGCAGCTCGTTTCCTACCGCCACCATCTCATTTAGGCACCTTGCACAAAGCAATCCTAGCACATTTGCTTTCATCCAGTGAAACCATTAGAAGAATCAATTTGATCTCCAAGGCAAGTTAAGAGTAATGGACTCCAGTGTTTACTTAGCAATAAGCACACAACTATTTAATTAGATCTGGATGCTGGAAACAGCATCTCGGAGGCAACAGCCACCGGCACAAAGAGCAAGGAGTTTCAATTTGTTGCAGAAATCGATGCTTTCAGGATGTTTTTTTCCTGCTTGTAACTGCTGGCTTCCACGTGGAAACGCTGTCACAGGTAGAGAGGCACCTCTCCCACCCGGCTTGGCTCCTGCAACCTCACACAACACTTCCCCGAGGGAAGGAGCAATTAAGCTGCTGCCCCTTCCCAGCCACACGCGGTTCC